GGAACGGCACGTAGTGCACCTCATCGGAGGGCCTTTTGGGAGAGCAGTCCTCTGGCTTCGCAGAGTGGCACCGGGGTTATGGCGGGCGGCGACGACGGCGTTGTGCACGTGTGGACGCTGGCGGAGAAGGGGAAGGCCGAGGGAGAGATGGAGAGCGGACGAGTGAGTGAGGTGTGAGCGACGGACGTGCGTCACAAGTAACATCACACACCGTGTCGCGGGTGGGTTTCCTCATACCGCGTACACGATGGGAGACGGTGTTTGCGCTGGGTCCTAAAAAAGGTTCCTTCGCCATGCGCGGTCCTCGCTGACCCTGCCAAACTCTCTCGCCGCCGTTCGCGGCTCGGCTTGCGTATGCGGTTGGGAGCTTCGAGGACATGCAGGCGTCCCGCCCCCTCCGGTCATCCCCCCCGGCTCCCAAGTGCGCGGCCGCGACGCGCTGCGCACCCTCTTCCGCGCTGCGCCCGCTCTCGGCATGGCCGTCGTCCGCCGAGATCACCTCCTCTTCGCGCCGCAGGTGCACAACCAAGGGCTGGCCATCTCCGTATCCATCATGGTGAAGCCAATGGGCCAAAAATGGAGGGAGCGCCCCTCCCAGGTGGCCGGAGGGTACACCTCGGGTCGGCGTGCTGGGGGGGCGCCGGTGCGCAAGCCCACTTTCCGGGCGACCCCGAGGGGGAGGAGGCCGGGCGAATGGCGGCAACTCATTGTTAGTGTCCCGGGCCGCTGCGGCACCGTTTATACGGCCCCTCGTGATGTCTTTCCGATTTTGTATTGTGAGTCGTCCTCTGGCCAGCCGAGGGGCACCAGAACGGCATGTGTACTGCTGCTGGCTGCGGGCGCGGAATGGGCTTTTTTTAACTCGCAACCAAGTATACTATATAAGGACACCCTCGGGGGGGACACTCGGCGCATGTGCGACACGTCAGGGTGGAGTTGGCGGTGGCCGAGCGTCGTCTCCCGATCGACTCGCAGCGGAGTCGAGGGGTGAAGCGCGTCGCGCTGCGACACTCGAGAGCCGGCGGGATGGCCGTGGGGCGCGGCCGACTTTGATGCCCTCGAAGGTCCAATGCGCAATCGTTCTGTGAGACCCACGCGTACAGGAAAGGGGGCGGAGACGCGCCATTCTGCTGGTACCTTTTTTGGGACCCATCGCTCCCGCGTTCCACACAGTGCCCTATCCAGTGCTCAAGTGCTCAGAGCGGCTCTATGGTGGGGGAACCGCTTTGCTGCAACAGTCATCCAGCCTTCCGTGAGGGGCAAGTACATACATGGCCCCGCCCTGGCTGAGCCGCTTCGCACTCATCTCCAGCGTCGTCGCCGCGTCCGCCATCGTGCGCCGTAGCGCCGCGCTGCGCTCTCACCTCGCGCGAATTCTCGGTGTGACGCGGTGGCACGTGCCACGCGTCGATGGTGTGATCGAGGCGGACGTGGCAATCGCCGGCGCAGGCTTGGGCGGGTTGGCGCTGAGCGCTGCGCTCCGCCGGCGAGGGTTTCGGGTCGTCGTTCTGGAGCGCGCTGCCGCGGCGCGCTACACCAGTCAGGGCACGATTGCGCTCTGGCCCAACGGGCTGGCGGCATTGGAGGCGGCTGGCGGGGCTCGGCTGCCAGCCGCGGTCTCCAAGCGGGGAGTGGCCGTCGAAGCAACCGAGATTCTGAACTGCGGCCTCCACGGCAGCGAGAGCACGCGGCGCATCGAGGTTGGGTCACACGGCGTCAGCGCCTTTTTTATACCGTGGGCCAAGGTTCAACAGGAGCTGATGGCTGCGGCGGAGGAGGGCGAGGCTGTGGGCGGAGCCGTGCGAGGGCCGTGGCTTCTGGAGTCGTGGACCTTGGACGGGAGGGGCGTGCTCGGTGCCCTGAGCAGCGCGCTGCGCCGGTGGCGATCCCCGCCCTGGCTGATGTGCTCTCACGAGGCGGCTGGCTTTGCGGAGGACGCGGAGGCTGTGGAGGTGCAAGTGGCGGGAGGAGCGCCCGGCGCGGCGCCCCGTGTCGCCGTCCGCGCGTCGTTGCTCGTCGGGGCGGACGGCCTTTTTTCTCGCGTGCGGGCGGCGTTGCAGGGCAGCCCCGGCGGGGGCGTCGACCTCGAGCGGATCAAGGACTACAGCACGACCAACTGGAACGGGATCGTGCGCCACGCCGCCATCCCCGGCCCACGGGTGGTGCCCCGAGGTGAGATATAGCCGAGATATGCCGCCACCCCCGGCCCTCGGGTGGTGCCCCGAGGCGAGCGCCCCCCCCCCCCGCTCCTCTCTCGGCCCACTCGAGACGAGAGGCCCCGAGCACCGCGAGCAGGCGAGTCGCGCATCCTCAA